CATTGCAGCTTCTTTTGGGGGTTGCCAATATGTACGGTTTCACAACCGCTCATTTTTTTTTGTTTACGCGGCAACCTACTTTAGGCTAAAGTCGCGCGTACAATTTAGCGTAATAAAACCACGTGATTAACGAATTAAAATATAGTCAACTTATAACTTGGTAGCTATCAACAACTGAGAGAAATAATCGCCTTTCATTCGTATTGTAATTTGATTGCAATAAACTAACTACTTAGTGCAACTGGGTGAAACTTGTTTCTCTACACTACATCAACTTCATCTTCACTACAAATCAATGTACGGAGTTAACTACTACAACTCGTACATGGGCACTGAATTGATTCTGTCAGAAGTCATTAATCTACGCGGACGAAGTCGCGGGCAACAGCTAGTAAACATATATATCTATCTATACATAACATAACATTACGCCTTTCTTCCCCGAAGGGGTAGGCAGAAGTGCACATTATGCTACTGTACAATGTAACACCCACTTTTCACTATTTATGTTATGAGTCCCTTGTAATAGGGGGTGAGCCTATTGCCATATACCGGGCACAATTCCAGACTCCGTGCTACTTACTACTGAGATTTTTTTTAAAACCCTGTAATACTTTGCCCGACCCGGGAATCGAACCCGAGACCCCTTGCCCGGCAGTCGCACTTGCGACCACTCTAACAATGAGGCAGTCTATATAAACATATAATAAAATCATAGGAAAGTGTAAACTGTACATCGAATATTTTTTTAAAAGAATGCTTGGACTGTGATCTATAGTCGACACCACAACCAAAAATATGTTTTTTTTAAGGGGGGAAAATCATCGAATGACTACTCCCGCCTGGGTGAGGCGGAAGGGAGTGTCAGACTCTTACTGACTAAAAACCACCCCGTTCCTTCTCCTGCACGTCGAGCCGGAGCCCCGGTTACCCGTTAGGTTCTCCGCGACTCCGAATCGGCATCGGCCCTATTGGGCCCCATCTGTGGTGGTCTGATGGCTCTTTGAGGCGCGCGCGGAACGCGACGCGCCGTACGCTCGGGTCTGTTTCTGGTCGGACGGGGAGCCACCCATGCTCGCCGTCCGCAGGCCCGCGCTTACGGTGGCCGGAGATCGTCCCGCGATCCCCGACGCCCGGTGTGTCCTTCGCGATGGCTGGGTTGCGAGGAGGCAGCGCTTCGCTGCCTCAGGCGTCCCGCCTCCTCCTTAGCTAGCATGACTGCTTCGCAAAAGGTGGAGACGGCATCCCAGTCCCCCTCGCTCCGCATCATGGCCTGCACTAGGCCCGGACGCGAGAGGTCGCCATCGCCGATCACTTCCCTGAGGGCACGGCGGTGCTCAGCCCACGCAGGGCATTCTCCCACTGTGTGTTCCACCGTGTCCTCAGGGCGGTCCTCGCAGTGATGACACCCGGGCGTTTCCTCCCGCCCCATCAGACACAGGTACCTCCCGAAACTTCCATGTCCGGTGAGGACCTGCGTCAGGCGGTAGGTGAGGACGCCGTAGCGTCTCTCAAGCCACTCCTCAAAGAGGGGTCTTACCGCTGCAATAGAAGCGAGCCCAGTCCTCGGTTGCGACAGTCGTTGCTGCCATTCCGCCATGAGATCGCGCCGGAGCTCATCCCGCCACGCACTTATCTGGCGCGGCAGAGGAGTTTCGCCCCGGCGACGTGCCTCTGCGCGCATGCGATACACGCGCGCGAGCACCTTCGCCTCCAGATCCCACGGCGGTGATCCGGCAAGGAGGTTCGCCGACTCCCCGGAGATCGTGCGGTATCCGCGGATCATTCGGATCGCCATGACCCTCTGTGACATGAGCAGCGTCGGAGCAGGACGCCGCAACAAGTTCGGCGCCCAAACAGGGGCGCCGTAGAGGGCCATGGACCGCACGACCCCGGCGTATAACCTCCGGCAGGAGGCGTTTGGCCCCCCGAGGTTGGGGAGGATGCGCTTAAACGCAGCCCCCGCCCTCGCCAACTTTGGAGCCAAACGTCGGAAGTGCTCCACGAAGTTCCACCGACTGTCGAGGACGAGTCCCAGGTACTTCATCGTCGTCTCGACGCCGATGGTAACCCCTCCCGCCATTATTTGGGATCCACCCGGAGGTGGCGCGTTCCCGCGGCCATGAAAACACATGGCCTCGGACTTGTGGAGCGCCACCTCGAGTCCCAACTGCCGGATTTTTTCAACGACGGTCGCAGCCGCAACCAAAAATATGGTTGTTACAATTTTTGTCTGTTTGTATGTATGTCCGGGCTAAACTCAAAAAATACTGCATATATTTAATTCAAATTTTGCATGAATATTACAAACAGGCATACATATCATCACGCTATCACCTACGGGAGAAGAGCTGTGAAGAACTATCCAAAGTCCCATCCATGCGGACGAGGTCGCGGGCATCTGCTAGTATAGGAATATCGAAGCTAAAAGCTAAGCAATAATTTGCTCATTCCAAGGTGTAAATTCCTATGGAGAAGAACGAGCAAGAAACTCCATAGGTTACTCTTTTTCAATCAGGTTTACAATACAATTCTCTAGTTACATAGATTTTTGGTTTAATTGTGTCACACCAAAATCCAGTCAAAGACATCCTAAAAGAAAATAACTTCAAGGACATTAAAATAATACAGCCTGGAGCTGACCAGTCCCAGTTGACAGCGCCCGTTCACGAACATGACACGTACACCAGCACCGCCCAACTCAACCATATTGTATGAAAGCGATTTGATAATTACATTATGTTCTATAAGTAAAAATAACAGTTGTCTCACCTGAATAGGTATATTGTGAAAAGTTCTACAAGTAGACTGCCTCGTTGGCCGAGTGGTCGCAAGTGCGACTGCCGGGCAAGGGGTCTCAGGTTCGATTCCCGGGTCGGGCAAAGTATTACTGGGTTTTAAAAAAAATCTCAGTAGTAGTACGGTCTGGAATTGTGCCTGGTATATGGCAAAGGGGTCTCAGGTTCGATTCCCGGGTGGGGCAAAGTATTACTGGGTTTAAAAAAAATCTCAGTAGTAGTACGGTCCGGAATTGTGCCCGGTATATGGCAATAGGCTCACCCCCTATTACATGGGACTCATAACATAAATAGTGAAAAGTGGGTGTTACATTGTACAATGGCATAATGTGCACCTCTGCCACAGTATAAAGAACAAAGTAGGTTATCTTCATACAAATGCTCCGCGCGCGGCTTATATGTGTGCGCCATAGTATCTATGCGTCGACGCACGCACACTTTAACAAAATCTCGACCCGTTTCTCAGTGCGCCAGGCAGGGCTGACACTGCACGAGGTTCGCGCGCGCATCACTTTTCGGCACTGTTAAATGAAATAAAAAATGTCTGATAACCGTAGAAGAACGTATTGCTGTGTGTTTGGGTGTCTTAATAATTAATCAATTCCAGAACTGTCTCTGTTCAGATTACCTATTGAACAGGAAAGGTAAGCTAGTCACTTTTTCTAGCATAATATAATTTGTAGGTACTTGATGATGAGATACCTACTTACTTATTCTTACTCTTATCATTCTTCATAGTTTCTACTCAACCAGAAATGTAATTACCTACTATACTTAAATGTTATAAGAAAATATGGTATTGTATTGTTTATTTCACAGTTTATCTGATTTGTTAAGAGCGTGGCCGTGTCGCATTTTTCCATATAAATGTATTCCAAAAGTTACTTTCTGAATACTATGTATAGAGCTAAAGTTTATTTTAAGAAGTTAATAATCTTTTTATAAGCTTTTTATTTTTACTAAATTTATAAATTGATAAAATATTCAATTATAATATGCTTTTCATTTCTTAAATTTAGATCAAGTGCTGCTTGTTCGAAAATATTAACTAAAAGTAAAAGTGACAACCCTGGGGATCAACGCAAGAGTAGGCTAATAACTCGGCGGGCGGCCTTAGATGACCTACTGTGTTCTTTATACTATGCCTCTGCCTATCACTTCGGGGATAAAAGGCGTGATGTTATGTTATGTGCTCTACTAGTTTCGAGTCAAAGAGGGACTCTTCCTAATGAAATTAAATGAAATTAAATTAAATGTCGCGACCGCGCACGCTGCTAGTGAGGAAGAGTCACTCTGCGAGCCCTCACCCTCATGCATGAGAAGCGGGCGTCTTAAACCTCCGGGCCATCACGACGACTTCTCAATATACATATTTACATCAATAACTCGTAATTTTTAGTTAATTCAGCATGTCTGACAATAGTTATTATAACCATATTGTGTTGTATACTTGTATTTTTCGAGCCGCGGAGAATCTAACGGGTTACCGGGGCTACGGCTCGAAGTGCAGGAGTAGGAACAGTGTGGTTTTTAGTCAGTAAGAGTCTGACACTCCCTTCCGCCTCACCCAGGCGGGAGAGGTTATTCGATGATTCCCCCCTTAAAAAAATACTTGTCTTTTATATTCGAACTAGCTACAGTTACTGCCCGCGACTTCGTACGCGTAATCCCATTTTTCCCGTACCCGTTCGTGATTTTCGGTAAAAAGTAAAAAAAAAAAATGTTGGTTAAAAAGTATCCTATGTCGGTCTCCTGGCTCTAAGCTACCTCCCTACCAATTTTCAGCCAAATCTATTCTGCCATTCTTGAGTTATAAGTGGTGTAACTAACACGACTTTCTTTTATATATATACAGATTGTGATATATGACTTCGAAATATTGTGTGTGTTAAACGAAAAACAAAATAATGAATTATTATTTGCAAATGAAAATTATTTATTAATCGTAAGTATACATAAATTGGTAATATAATGTAATTTTCGATATATATTTTTGACAATGTTCAAAAAAATAGAATAAAATTACAATATTATTATTATTAGTGAAACATAGACTATTCTTACATAATATCTATTAATACATTATAAACTAGATTCGATAACAGATAGGTTCTTATACAGTAAAAGAGTCCTTTTTATACCTCTAATACAATCCTGTGCCTTTAGCCGCTGGTATCGTTTTTCTTGTTGAATATTATTATTTTAACTCCTATCTTCATCAGAATCGCCATGTTTACGAGAGTGGTAAGTCTTTTTATTCTTATAGTACAAGTCATATTCGCTCTCCTGTTTATCTCTTCTTTCATTCTCAATATTTTCCGTGTCACTCTTTACCGAGTCTTTTTCGTATCTTTCGGCTTTATACTGTCCATGTTCTTGTTTTTCATCTACAGTTTCTTTTTTGACTGCACCTTTGGAATCGCGTTCTGTTTTGGAATCGTGGTAACTCTTTCCTTCTTGTTTTTGTTCTTCTGTATTTTCGCGAACTTGGCTATAGTGTTTTCCACCTACATCTTTGTCGATTGTACTTGATTCAGATTTCTTAGCGGCTATGGTATGGGTCTCAAATTCTTGGCTTTCAACGATTTCGTTACCGTGTGATCTTCTTATTATCCTTTTCTTAGTTTTATGTGTTTTATTTGAAGTATGCATTGAACGTTTCCTGCGCGTAATTGTGCGTGAAACTGTTATCTTTTTCTTATATTCTCTTTTAGCGTTTGTATCTTTGTTTTTGTTGCTGTCTTCAGTTTTATCTTTTCCTTTCTTGCAAGCACGTGTTTTACCTTCATTACCTTGGTTTTTATTTTCTTTATCATTCTTTTTAATGTCCTTATCATTGTCGCTTTCATTCGAATCGCGTGAAGTCTTTTTGTGTCCTTTATATTCAGTAGATCTTTTATGAATTTTTGATTTATGAGTTTTAACTCTATTTCCACGTGGTTTTCTGATATGGCTGTTAGCATCTCCGCTTTCAGAAGAAGATTTGCTTGTGTCAGATGAGTCACTACTTTCAGCCGTGCTATTAGAATTTACCCTGCGGTGATTTCTATGACATTTCTTCCCATTACCTCTAAGGCGTTTATTGTCCGTGGAATCATTTGAGGAATTTTGATCTGAATCCTCTTTGGTATTATTGTTGGTATCAATGATTGTGTGACCTCTTTTGCCACATACTGCGCATCTACTGTTACATCTTTTTCTTACTCCATTATCATCATCATTGGAGGAATCTTCATCAGTTGAGTCACTTTCACTATCGCTTGATGAATCGCTATCACTGGATGAATCGCTATCACTGGATGAATCGCTATCACTGGATGAATCGCTATCACTGGATGAATCGCTATCACTGGATGAATCGCTGTCACTAGACGAATCGCTTGCACTAGATGAATCGCTTTCGCTTGTTTCATAGCTTTCACTGGATTCGTCACTTTCGCTGAAATCGTTACTTTCGCTTGAATCGTAGCTTTCGTTTGACTCGAAACTTTCGCTTCTGCTATCACTATCGCTGTTTCCGTTACTATCGCTAGAATCGGAACTTTCACTAGTATCGTAACTCTTACTAGATGCATCGCTATCACTGGTTTCGTCACTTACACTGTAATCGTTGCTTTCACTAGATTCATCACTGCTGTCAGTTTCGTCAGTACCGTTGTATTCACCTGTACTGTTAGATTCATCACTGCTATTTTCATTAGTATTGCTACTATTGCTAGATTCATCATTGTCGCTATTTTCACTAGTATTGTTGGATTCATCAGTGCTATCAGATTTACTGGGTCCGCTGGAGTTGCCACTCTCATCTGAACTACTGGTGTCACTGGGTCCACTGGAGTTACCACTCTCACCAGTACTGTCTGATTCACTGGGTTCACTGGAGTTACCACTCTCACCAGTACTGGTTGATTCACTGGGTTCACTGGAGTCACCACTCTCACCAGTACTGTCTGATTCACTGGGTCCACTGGAGTTACCACTCTCACCAGTACTGTCTGATTCACTGGGTTCACTGGTGTTACCACTCTCACCAGTACTGTTTGATTCACTGGGTCCACTGGAGTTACCACTCTCACCAGTACTGTCTGATTCACTGGGTTCACTGGAGTTACCACTCTCACCAGTACTGGTTGATTCACTGGGTTCACTGGAGTCACCACTCTCACCAGTACTGTCTGATTCACTGGGTTCACTGGTGTTACCACTCTCACCAGTACTGTTTGATTCACTGGGTCCACTGGAGTTACCACTCTCACCAGTACTGGTTGATTCACTGGGTTCACTGGAGTCACCACTCTCACCAGTACTGTCTGATTCACTGGGTTCACTGGTGTTACCACTCTCACCAGTACTGTTTGATTCACTAGGTCCACTGGTGTTACCACTCTCACCAGTACTGTTTGATTCACTGGGTCCACTGGAGTTACCACTCTCATCTGCACTACCGGAGTCACGGGGTTCACTGGAGTTACCACTCTCACCAGTACTGTCTGATTCACTGGTTCACTGGAGTTACCACTCTCACCAGTACTGTCTGATTCACTGGGTTCACTGGAGTTACCACTCTCACCAGTACTGTTTGATTCACTGGGTTCACTGGAGTTACCACTCTCACCAGTACTGTCTGATTCACTGGGTTCACTGGAGTTACCACTCTCACCAGTACTGTTTGATTCACTGGGTCCACTGGAGTTACCACTCTCACCAGTACTGTCTGATTCACTGGGTCCACTGGAGTTACCACTCTCACCAGTACTGTTTGATTCACTGGGTCCACTGGAGTTACCACTCTCATCTGCACTACCGGAGTCACGGGGTTCACTGGAGTTACCACTCTCACCAGTACTGTCTGATTCACTGGGTTCACTGGAGTTACCACTCTCACCAGTACTGTTTGATTCACTGGGTTCACTGGAGTTACCACTCTCACCAGTACTGTCTGATTCACTGGGTTCACTGGAGTTACCACTCTCACCAGTACTGTCTGATTCACTGGGTTCACTGGAGTTACCACTCTCACCAGTACTGTTTGATTCACTGGGTCCACTGGAGTTACCACTCTCATCTGCACTACCGGAGTCACGGGGTTCACTGGAGTTACCACTCTCACCAGTACTGTCTGATTCACTGGGTTCACTGGAGTCACCACTCTCACCAGTACTGTCTGATTCACTGGGTTCACTGGAGTTACCACTCTCACCAGTACTGTTTGATTCACTGGGTCCACTGGAGTTACCACTCTCATCTGCACTACCGGAGTCACGGGGTTCACTGGAGTTACCACTCTCACCAGTACTGTCTGATTCACTGGGTTCACTGGAGTCACCACTCTCACCAGTACTGTCTGATTCACTGGGTTCACTGGAGTTACCACTCTCACCAGTACTGTTTGATTCACTGGGTCCACTGGAGTTACCACTCTCACCAGTACTGTTTGATTCACTGGGTCCACTGGAGTCACCACTCTCACCAGTACTGTCTGATTCACTGGGTTCACTGGAGTTACCACTCTCACCAGTACTGTTTGATTCACTGGGTCCACTGGAGTTACCACTCTCACCAGTACTGTTTGATTCACTGGGTCCACTGGAGTTACCACTCTCATCAGTACTGTCTGATTCACTGGGTTCACTGGAGTTACCACTCTCACCAGTACTTTCTGATTCACTGGGTCCACTGGAGTTACCACTCTCATCTGCACTACCGGAGTCACGGGGTTCACTGGAGTTACCACTCTCACCAGTACTGTTTGATTCACTGGGTCCACTGGAGTTACCACTCTCACCAGTACTGTTTGATTCACTGGGTTCACTGGAGTTACCACTCTCACCAGTACTGTCTGATTCACTGGGTTCACTGGAGTTACCACTCTCATCTGCACTACCAGAGTCACTGGATTCACTGGAGTTACTACTCTCACCAGTACTGTTTGATTCACTGGATTCACTGGAGTTACTACTCTCACCAGTACTGTTTGATTCACTGGAGTTACCACTCTCACCAGTACTGTCTGATTCACTGGGTCCACTGGAGTTACCACTCTCACCAGTACTGTTTGATTCACTGGGTCCACTGGAGTCACCACTCTCACCAGTACTGTTTGATTCACTGGGTCCACTGGAGTTACCACTCTCACCAGTACTGTTTGATTCACTGGGTTCACTGGAGTTACCACTCTCACCAGTACTGTTTGATTCACTGGGTCCACTGGAGTTACCACTCTCACCAGTACTGTTTGATTCACTGGGTCCACTGGAGTTACCACTCTCACCAGTACTGTTTGATTCACTGGGTTCACTGGAGTTACCACTCTCACCAGTACTGTTTGATTCACTGGGTCCACTGGAGTTACCACTCTCACCAGTACTGTTTGATTCACTGGGTCCACTGGAGTTACCACTCTCACCAGTACTGTTTGATTCACTGGGTTCACTGGAGTTACCACTCTCACCAGTACTGTTTGATTCACTGGGTCCACTGGAGTTACCACTCTCACCAGTACTGTTTGATTCACTGGGTTCACTGGAGTTACCACTCTCACCAGTACTGTTTGATTCACTGGATCCACTGGAGTTACCACTCTCACCAGTACTGTTTGATTCACTGGGTCCACTGGAGTTACCACTCTCACCAGTACTGTTTGATTCACTGGGTCCACTGGAGTTACCACTCTCACCAGTACTGTTTGATTCACTGGGTCCACTGGAGTTACCACTCTCACCAGTACTGTCTGATTCACTGGGTCCACTGGAGTTACCACTCTCACCAGTACTGTTTGATTCACTGGGTTCACTGGAGTTACCACTCTCATCAGTGCTACTGGAGTCACTGGATCCACTGGAGCTATCACTTTCACTAGTATTCTTGGCTTCATTACTGCTGTCATTTTCATCAGTGCTGGCAGGTTTGCTTGTGCTATCGTTCTCATCTGAACTATTGGATTTACTTTTGTTATCAGATCTATCTTTGCTGTCCGATTTATCCTTACCATTAGAGTCATTTTCACTATTTTCACTCGAATTACTATTGGACTCATTACTCTTGTCATATTCACTAGTGTTGTTGGGTTCGTCAGAGCTATTCGATTCGCTACTTTCACTAGTATGACTACTAGAACTTGAAGAATCATCTTTAGGTTTTTTGTGATGTCTTCTCTTACATTTCTTTTCGGCACTGCGTTTGTGAATATGCTTAGGTGAACTTTCGTTATACTCGCTATCTTGACTCTCAGTATCTTTATCTTTAGAGTCATCATGGTCATCACTTTTACTATTTCCCGGAGATTCATTTGATTCTTCGCTAGTCTCTTCTTTTACAGAATTATTATCATTGCTATCATTATCTTTATTGTTTCGATCATTAGAAGTATTTTCATCACTTGACTTGTCATCTTTGGGATCTCTGTCATTTAAATCTTTATATTTATAACAGTTAATTCCATCGCATTTTCTATGGCATTTCGGATGATGTTTCGTCTTATGTCTTCCAGTACAATGAGACCCTGATGTATCATTTTGTTGGTTATTACTTTCGTCAGACAAGGGTTTGCCATGAGCATGACACTTGTGTCTCCTAGCATGATGTCTCCGTTTTGGAATAACTTTGACATGTCTTACTCTGTGTTTATGTGGAGGATGACGTTTACATTTATGAGTTATTATTTGTTGAGATTCAACACTTTTACCTTCATCGGAGCCATCTTTAGTTTCATTACTGTCATTTTTGTGGTCATGGGAGCCATCATCCTTTTCATCACTGCCGCTCTTGGGTCCAAGGGAGTCTTCACCCTTTTCGTCACTGCCGCTCTTGGATCCATGGGAATCATTATCCCTTTCATGACTGTCACTCTTGGGTCCATGTGAGTCTTCATTCTTTTCGTCACTGCCGCTCTTGGATCCATGGGAGTTATCATCCTTTTCATCACTGTCGCTCTTGGGTCCATGGGAGTCATCATCTTTTTCATGGGTGTCATTCTTGTCGTCACGTGGATGATGATTGTCCTTTACGTGGTGTTTGCAACCTTTGTGGTGCTTCTTCTTGTTCTTATTTGTGTCATCTTTGTCCTCGTGGCTGTCACTCTTGGGCCCATGGGAGTCATCATCCTTTTCGTCACTGCCGCTCTTGGATCCATGGGAATCATTATCCCTTTCATGGCTTTCACTCTTGGGTCCATGTGAGTCTTCATTTTTTTCGTCACTGCCGCTCTTGGGCCCATGGGAGTCATCATCCTTTTCGTCACTGCCGCTCTTGGATCCATGGGAATCATTATCCCTTTCATGGCTTTCACTCTTGGGTCCATGTGAGTCTTCATTCTTTTCGTCACTGCCGCTCTTGGGCCCATGGGAGTCATCATCCTTTTCGTCACTGCCGCTCTTGGATCCATGGGAATCATTATCCCTTTCATGACTGTCACTCTTGGGTCCATGTGAGTCTTCATTCTTTTCATCACTGTCGCTCTTGGGTCCATGGGAGCCATCATCCTTTTCATCACTGCCGCTCTTGGGTCCAAGGGAGTCATCATCCTTTTCGTCACTGCCGCTCTTGGATCCATGGGAGTCATTACCCTTTTCATCACTGCCGCTCTTGGGTCCAAGGGAGTCATCATCCTTTTCGTCGCTGCCGCTCTTGGATCCATGGGAGTCATTACCCTTTTCATCACTGCCACTCTTGGATCCAAGGGAGTCATCATCCTTTTCGTCACTGCCGCTCTTGGATCCATGGGAGACATCATCCTTTTCGTCACTGCCACTCTTGGATCCAAGGGAGTCATCACCCTTTTCATCACTGTCACTCTTGGATCCATGGGAGTCATTACCCTTTTCATCACTGTCGCTCTTGGGTCCGTGGGACTCATCATCTTTTTCATGGGTGTCATTCTTGTCGTCACGTGGATGATGATTGTCCTTTACGTGGTGTTTGCAACCTTTGTGGTGCTTCTTCTTGTTCTTATTTGTGTCATCTTTGTCCTCGTGGCTGTCACTCTTGGGTCCATGTGAGTCTTCATCCTTTTCGTCACTGTCTCTGTTGGGTCCATGGGGGTCATCATCCTTTTCGTCACTGTCAATCTTGTGGTCACGTGGATGATGATTGTCCTTTACGTGGTGTTTGCATCCTTTGTGGTGCTTCTTCTTGTTCTTATTTGTGTCAGCTTTGTCCTCTTGGCTGCCGCTCTTGGGTCCGTGGGAGTCATCATCCTTTTCGTCACTGTCGCTCTTGGGTCCATGGGAGTTATCATCCTTTTCGTCACTGCCGCTCTTGGGTTCATGGGAATCATTATCCCTTTCATCACTGCCGCTCTTGGGTCCAAGGGAGTCTTCACCCTTTTCGTCACTGCCACTCTTGGATCCATGGGAATCATTATCCCTTTCATGACTGTCACTCTTGGGTCCATGTGAGTCTTCATTCTTTTCGTCACTGCCGCTCTTGGATCCATGGGAGTTATCATCCTTTTCATCACTGTCGCTCTTGGGTCCATGGGAGTCATCATCTTTTTCATGGGTGTCATTCTTGTCGTCACGTGGATGATGATTGTCCTTTACGTGGTGTTTGCAACCTTTGTGGTGCTTCTTCTTGTTCTTATTTGTGTCATCTTTGTCCTCTTGGCTGTCGCTCTTGGGTCCGTGGGAGTCATTATCCCTTTCATGGCTATCACTCTTGGGTCCATGTGAGTCTTCATTCTTTTCGTCACTGTCGCTCTTGGATCCATGGGAGTCATCACCCTTTTCATCACTGCCACTCTTCGATCCATGGGAATCATTATCCCTTTCATGACTGTCACTCTTGGATCCATGGGAGTCATCATCCTTTTTGTCACTGCCGCTCTTAGGTCCATGGGAGTCATCACCCTTTTCGTCACTGCCGCTCTTGGGTCCATGGGAGTCATCATCTTTTTCATGGCTGTCATTCTTGTCGTCACGTGGATGATGATTGTCCTTTACGTGGTGTTTGCAACCTTTGTGGTGCTTCTTCTTGTTTTTATTTGTGTTATCATTGTCCTCATGGTTGTCGTCTTTGGGTCCATGGGCGTCATCATCCATTTCATGACTGTCGCTTTTGCGTCCATTATCTTTTTTGTGGTGTTTGTGCCCTTTGTGGTGCTTCTTCATATCTGTATCATTTTTGTCTTCGTTGCTGTTGTCCTTGGGTTTATGGGAGCCATCATCCGTTTCATGACTGTCATTCTTGTGGTCATGTGGACGATGATTGTCCTTTACGTGGTGTTTGCAACGTTTATGGTGCTTCTTCTTGTTCTTATTTGTGTCATCTTTGTCCTCGTGGCTGTCTCTCCTCGATCCATGGGATTCATCATCTTTTTCATCACTGTTGCTCTTGGGTCCTTGAGAGTCATTCTCTTCATGGCTATCATTCTTGTGGTCGCTTGGATGTTCATCATCTGTTACGTGGTGTTTGTGTTTCTTGTGGTGTTTCTTTTTATTCTTATCATTACTTTTATTCTTAGGTCTATGAGAGTCATTAGACTCATCGCTGCTACCACTTTCATCTGAGCTGTTAGAATTATCTGAGCTGTTAGATCCATCGTTGATAGCGGACTCATTAGTATTTTCAGTATTATCACTTTTATTTGAGTTCCTTTTGCGTCTAGGGGAATTATTTCCCTTCTCATTGCTGTCACTGTCATTGTCATGGGAGCCAACGTGTCTTTCATGACTGCCGCTCTTGGGTCCATTATTTTTTGTAGGGTGTTTGCGCTCTTTGTGGTGCTTCTTCTTATTAGTGTCATCTTTGTGCTCTTGGCTGTCGCTATTAGGTTCATAGGAGTCATCCTTTTCGTGACTGTCGTTCTTGTGGTCACGTGGATGATGATTGTCCTTTACGTGGTGTTTGCATCCTTTGTGGTGCTTCTTCTTGTTCTTATTTGTGTCATCATTGTCCTCATGGCTGTTGTCTTTGGGTCCATGGGAGTCATCATCATTTTCATGACTGTCGGTTTTGGGTCCATTATCTTTTTTGTGGTGTTTGTGCCCTTTGTGGTGCTTCTTCTTATGTGTATCATCTTTGTCTTCGTAGCTGTCGTCCTTGGGTCCATGAGATTCATCATCCTTTTCATCACTGTCACTCTTGAGTCCATGGGAGTCATCATCTTTTTCATCGCTGTCGCTCTTGGGCCCATTGGAGTCATCATCCTTTTCGTCACTACCGCTCTTGGGTTCATGGGAGTCATTGTCCTTTTCATTACTGTCGCTCTTGTGTCCATGTGAATCATTATCACTTTCATGACTGTCGCTCTTGGGTCCATGGGAGTTATTACTCTTTTCATCACTGTCACTCTTGGGTCCGTGGGAGTCATCATCAGTTTCATCACTGCCACTCTGGAGTCCATGAGAATTATTATCCTTTTCATCACTTTGGCTATTGGGTTCATTATCTCTGTTGTGGTGTTTGCACCGTTTGTGATGCTTCTTTTTGTTCTTGTTTTTGTCATCTTTGTCCTCGTGGCTTTGGCTCTTTGGTCCATGGGAGTCATCATCCTTTTCGTCACTGCCGCTCTTGGATCCATGAGAATTATTATCCCTTTCATGACTGTCACTCTTGGGTCCATGGGAGTCATTATCCTTTTCATCACTGCCGCTCTTGGATTCATGAGAATTATTATCCCTTTCATGACTGTCACTCTTGGGTCCATGGGAGTCATCATCCTTTTCATCACTGCCGCTTTTGGATCCATGAGAATTATTATCCCTTTCGTCACTGCCGCTCTTGGATCCATGAGAATTATTATCCCTTTCATGACTGTCACTCTTTGGTCCATGGGAGTCATCATTCTTTTCGTCACTGCCGCTCTTGGATCCATGAGAATTATTATCCCTTTCATGACTGTCACTCTTGGGTCCACGGGAGTCATTATCCTTTTCATCACTGCCGCTCTTGGATTCATGAGAATTATTATCCCTTTCATGACTGTCACTCTTGGGTCCATGGGAGTCATCATCCTTTTCATCACTGCCGCTTTTGGATCCATGACAATTATTATCCCTTTCGTCACTGCCGCTCTTGGATCCATGAGAATTATTATCCCTTTCATGACTGTCACTCTTTGGTCCATGGGAGTCATCATTCTTTTCGTCACTGCCGCTTTTGGATCCATGAGAATTATTATCCCTTTCATGACTGTCACTCTTGGGTCCATGGGGGTCATCATCCTTTTCATCACTGCCGCTTTTGGATCCATGAGAATTATTATCCCTTTCGTCACTGCCGCTCTTGGATCCATGAGAATTATTATCCCTTTCATGACTGTCACTCTTGGGTCCATGGGGGTCATCATCCTTTTCATCACTGCCGCTTTTGGATCCATGAGAATTATTATCCCTTTCGTCACTGCCGCTCTTGGATTCATGAGAATTATTACCTTTCATGACTGTCACTCTTGGGTCCATGGGGGTCATCATCCTTTTCATCACTGCCGCTTTTGGATCCATGAGAATTATTATCCCTTTCGTCACTGCCGCTCTTGGATCCATGAGAATTATTATCCCTTTCATGACTGTCACTCTTTGGTCCATGGGAGTCATCATTCTTTTCGTCACTGCCGCTTTTGGATCCATGAGAATTATTATCCCTTACGTCACTGCCGCTCTTGGATCCATGAGAATTATTATCCCTTTCATGACTGTCACTCTTGGGTCCATTGGAGTCATCATCCTTTTCGTCACTGCCGCTCTTGGATCCATGAGAATTATTATCCCTTTCATCACTGTTGCTCTTGGATCCATGGGAGTCATCACCCTTTTCATCACTGTTGCTCTTGGATCCATGAGAATTATTATCCCTTTCATCACTGTTGCTCTTGGATCCATTGGAATCATCATCCTTTTCGTCACTGCCGCTCTTGGATCCATGAGAATTATCATCCCTTTCGTCACTGCCGCTCTTGGATCCATGAGAATTATTATCCCTTTCATGACTGTCACTCTTGGGTCCATTGGAGTCATCATCCTTTTCGTCACTGCCGCTCTTGGATCCATGAGAATTATTATCCCTTTCATGACTGTCACTCTTGGGTCCATGGGGGTCATCATCCTTTTCATCACTGCCGCTTTTGGATCCATGAGAATTATTATCCCTTTCGTCACTGCCGCTCTTGGATCCATGAGAATTATTATCCCTTTCATGACTGTCACTCTTTGGTCCATGGGAGTCATCATTCTTTTCGTCACTGCCGCTTTTGGATCCATGAGAATTATTATCCCTTTCGTCACTGCCGCTCTTGGATCCATGAGAATTATTATCCCTTTCATGACTGTCACTCTTGGGTCCATTGGAGTCATCATCCTTTTCGTCACTGCCGCTCTTGGATCCATGAGAATTATTATTCCTTTCATCACTGTTGCTCTTGGATCCATGGGAGTCATCACCCTTTTCATCACTGTTGCTCTTGGATCCATGAGAATTATTATCCCTTTCATCACTGTTGCTCTTGGATCCATTGGAGTCATCATCCTTTTCGTCACTGCCGCTCTTGGATCCATGAGAATTATTATCCCTTTCGTCACTGCCGCTCTTGGATCCATGAGAATTATTATCCCTTTCATAACTGTCACTCTTGGGTCCATTGGAGTCATCATCCTTTTCGTCACTGCCGCTCTTGGATCCATGAGAATTATTATCCCTTTCATCACTGTTGCTCTTGGATCCATGGGAGTCATCACCCTTTTCATCACTGTTGCTCTTGGATCCATGAGAATTATTATCCCTTTCATCACTGTTGCTCTTGGATCCATTGGAGTCATCATCCTTTTCGTCACTGCCGCTCTTGGATCCATGAGAATTATTATCCCTTTCATCACTGTCGCTCTTGGGTCCGTGGGAGTCATCATCTTTTTCATGGCTGTCATTATTGTGGTCACGTGGATGTCCATTATCTATTACGTGGTGTTTGCGTTTCTTGTGGTGTTTCTTTTTATTCTTGTCCCTATCATTCTTAGGTCCACGAGAGTCATTAGACTTATCACTGCTGTTGTTTTCATCTAAACTATTGGAGTCATCTGAACTGTTTGAATCATCTGTGCTGCTAGAGTCACCGTTGTTAATAGACTCATCACTGCTTTCATTTTTGTTATGGTCATGGGAGTCATTATCTTTTCCATGACTGTCGCTCCTGGGTTCATTATCTCTGTTGTGGTGTTTGCACCGTTTGTGATGCTTCTTTTTGTCATCTTTGACCTCGTGGCTTTCGTTCCTGGGTCCATGGGAGCCATCATCAGTTTCGTCACTGCCGCTCTTGGATCCATGGGAGTCATCGTCCTTTTCATCACTGCCGCTCTTCGATCCATGAGAATTATTATCCCTTTCATCACTGCCGCTCTTGGGTCCATGGGAGTCATCGTCCTTTTCATCACTGCCGCTCTTGGATCCATGAGAATTATTATCCCTTTCATGACTGTCACTCTTGGGTTTATGGGAGTCATCATCCTTTTCGTCACTGCCGCTCTTGGATCCATGGGAGTCATCATCCTTTTCATCACTGCCGCTCTTGGATCCATGAGAATTATTATCCCTTTCATGACCGTCACTCTTGGGTCCGTGGGAGTCATCGTCCTTTTCATCACTGCCGCTCTTGGATCCATGAGAATTATTATCCCTTTCATGACTGTCACTCTTGGGTTTATGGGAGTCATCATCCTTTTCGTCACTGCCGCTCTTGGATCCATGGGAGTCATCATCCTTTTCATCACTGCCGCTCTTGGATCCATGAGAATTATTATCCCTTTCATCACTGCCGCTCTTGGATCCATGAGAATTATAATCCCTTTCGTCACTTTCGCTCTTGGGTTCATTATCTCTGTTGTGGTGTTTGCACCGTTTGTGATGCTTCTTTTTGTTCTTGTTTTTGTCATCTTTATCCTCGTGGCTTTCGCTCTTGGGTCCATGGGAGTCATCATCCTTTTCGTCACTGTCGCTCTTGGATCCATGAGAATTATTATCCCTTTCATGACTGTCACTCTTGGGTCCATGGGAGTCATTATCTCTTTCATCACTGTCGCTCTTGGGCTCATGTGAGTCATCATCCTTTGTATGACTGTCACTTGGATGTTTATTATCTTTTATGTCGTGTTTGCACCTCTTATGTGTGTGCTTCTTTTTATTCTTGTCATTACTGCCGTTATTATTATGTTCATGGGAGTCATCAGGCTCATCGCTGCTACCACTTTCATCTGAACTGTTAGAATCATCGTTGCTGGTGGACTCATTACTATTACCAGTGTTATCCCCCTCATTTGAGTCCTTTTCGCGTTCAGGGGATTTATTTTTTTTCTCATCGCTGTCACTATTATGGTTATGAGAGTCATCATTCTTTTCATCACTGTCATTCTTGTCATCATTTGGATGTTCATTATCTGTTTTATGATGTTTGTGCCTCTTATGGTGTTTTTGTTTATTCCTTTCTTCGCTCTCGCTCTTGCTATGTTCATGGGAGTCATCAGGCTCATCACTGCTACCACTTTCATTTGAGCTGTAGGACCCGCCACTGCTACTGTTGTCGTACGAACTATTAGAATCATCTTTGCTAGTTGAGTCTCCTTTGTTAGCATCGCTATTGCTATTATCTTGTTTGTTATCATCATTCTGTGACTTGTGGTGACGACATTCACGTTTATGCTTCTTGTCAGTATTTCCATATGAATTACTTATCTTAGTGTGATCCTCTTTTTCGCTGTGTTCTTGGTCAATGTTCGTGTTAGAAGATGACTCTCCATGTTCATAATCTTTGTTCTTCTCATAGCGATTATTTCCAGAAGAATCTATGTTCGTCTTGTCTTTCCATTCTCTGTTATTTTGCTCTATATCTGTTTTAGAAGAAGATGTTCTGTGTTTGTGGCCTTTCTTTTTCTCATAATGATTGTTGGTAGAATTGTCTATATTAGTTTCTTCTTGCTTCCCACTGTTCTTTTGTTGGATATTTGTGTTGTAATTAGAATCTGCATGCTCGCAATCTTTGTCCTTTTCATAATGGCTGTTGTACGAATTGTCGATTTTTATTTTGTCTTTCTTTTTGTTGTTCTTTTTATGTATGTTGGTATTGGAAGATTCATCCGCGTGTTCATAATTTTTACACTTCTCATGATGGGTTTTCGAAGACTCTTGTACTTTACTTTCATTTTCCTTTTCAGTGTTCTTTTGCTCAATATTGGTATTAGAACATGAGTCCGCATTTACTCTATCTTTGTCCTTTTCATAATGGCTGTTATAAGAGTCGTTTATTTTAGTCTCATCCTTCTTCTCACTGTTCTTCTGTTCAATATTAGTATTGCAAGAGGAATCGGCATGTTCATAGTCCTTCTTTTTTTCATAAGTGTTATTTGCAGAAGAATCTATCTTAGTCTGATTCTTCGTTTCAGTATTCTTCTGTTCAATATTAGTGTCGTACGAATAATCTGCATGTTCATAATCTTTCTTCTGCTCATAATGGCTGTTAGCAGAAGAATTGGCTTTAGTTTGTTGATTATAAGCACCACTAGTCTTCTCTACTTGAACGGCACTAGAAGAATGTTTCTTTATATGATCTTTACCACCACTTTCAGTGTCAGTTCTAGTAGCATTAGCCTTTATATGTTCATTATATCCGCTATTATGATTCTCATAACGAGTTTTAGAGTCAGAATCAGCTTTGACATGATCTGGAGATTTCTCATATCGGTTATGAGATGTAGATTCTATTCTACTATGAGATTTGCTCCCGCTACTGGATTTCTCGATGTGAGTCGTTTCTGTTTTTGTTGTCTTATGGCCCCCATGGTCACAGGGTTTCTGGTCACCATCAGCACCGGCTGTTGGGTTTAAAGTGTACATTTTATTTACTATCTACTTCGTGAGCTGTCGGAACCCGACTGTTCAGCAAGAGTAGAAAGAAAGAATGAAAGAAAATTTGTTTATTTGCACTGTAACAAATTTAAAATAAATAAAGAAGAACAGTAACACAATAATAAATGGTTAAAGTGTGCACGGTGCAAAACGGCCAAGTGCTCAGCTGAAATGCCGCGACCCGAGAGCGATAACTCGAGTCGAGGCGCTGATTTTCAGCACTAGCCTGTCACTATAGGTAATATTAACATAAAAAAATAATAGATATATATAATAGAGAGTAACCATCGAAATTAAAAGTGTGGTATTTATTTGTATATGTTAATCTGGACATCAATAGCATATAAGTGGCCACTGCTGACCAAAGGTCTCTTCTCACACGGAAAAAGTTTGAGCATTAATCACCACGCTTGCTCAATGCGGGTTGGCAATTTGACACTTGTAATTAGAAATTATAAGTCCAGATTTCCTCGCGATGTTTTTCTTCACCGTTTGTCAGTGGTGTCTAAATAATCTTAGAAAGTACATATAACTTGGACAACGTCACTTTGGTACTAGTAACGGGCGTCATAAACCTCCGGCCTCCGGGTTACCACGATATTAGTATATGATCACTACATAGTATAAAACAAAGTCGCTATCCGCCGTCTGTCTATCCGTATGAATGCTTAGATCTTTAAAACTACGCAACAGATTTTGATGCGGTTTTTTTAATATATACCTAGAGTGATTCTTAAGGAAGGTTTATAATGTATAATACATGTATATTGTACCCGTGAGAAGCCTGGGCGGGTCACTAGTTTTAATATAAATAAGAAAATGTCATAATAATTAATATAAATACTTACGTTGCGGTAACGCCTGAACAGTTACCAGGGCCTGAAATAAAATTAGAAATTAATTAGCAATAGCAATAGGTTCACCCCCTATTACATGGGACTCATAACATAAATAGTGAAAAGTGGGTGTTGCATTGTACAGTGGCATTAAGTGCTGTAATGTGCACCTCTGCCAACCCCTTCGGGGGTAAAAGGCGTGATGTTATGTTATATGTTATGTAATTTTAAAGTGTGAATATTTTAGTTTTTATTTAAATATAACATTAATTTATACTTACCACTATTACAAGTAGCACTTTATACACCTTCATGGTGACTTGATGCCCTAACATCGGCACCGGAGCCTTTTATACCAAATCATTTCAAATAAGTGCAACAATAATTAATATATCTATTATTAATAAAAACAACAACACATTTGCACATATGTTTTTGATACAATAGCTAGCCCTTTTATTTGTTTGTGTTGTATATAATTATTAATTAGAAAACAATGTTGTCTGACGTCAATCGGTTAGGTGTTGTCGTAAGAGCTTTCTTTGGTAGCGTTGGGTAGGCACAAAGATACTTAGGTCCTGAAGTGCAGGCGGAGCGCGTGAGGGAACAAACCTCACGCCCTAGCCGTCGCGGGAGACACTCCGGGCGTCGGAGATCGCGTGACGATCTCCGGCCACCGCAGGTCTGCGGACGGTGAGCAAAGGTAGCTCGCCGCCCGACCAGAACCAGACCCGTGCGTACGGCGCGTCGCGTTCCGCGCACGCCTCAAAGAGCCATCAGACCACAATAGATGGAGCCCAGTAGGGCTGAAGCCGATACTAGGCTAGAAGAGCAGGAGTAGGAACGGGGTGGTTTTTAGTCAGTAAGAGTCTAACACTCCCTCTCGCCAACCTAAGGCGGGAGAAGTTATCGGATGATTTTCCCCCTCAAAAAAAAAACTGCACGGTTAGCGCGGTGGCTGGGCAAGTGGCTGCCGCGCAACGTGTCGCGGGTTCGATTCCCGCACGGAACAACTCTTTGTGTGATCCACAGATTGTTGTTCCGAGAGATCCTGTAGTGCCGTTTTATAAACCCCACACTAGGATTTTCTCCTGTGTCGTGGGTGCGTTTACAAACATACAATATCACATATGCATGACATCCAGACTCGGAATAACAATTTGTGTATGAGACGATGATGATTACATCGCACGTCTAATTTGCATGGCTCGGGCGCGGCGTTGGCGCGCCGGTAGCGATATGGAAGCTTTTTATCACCACAAACAAGTATAGTCAACAATACCAACCTACGATGCGACGTTGTTTCGCTGGCGCTTGGTGGGCGGCGCGCTGACGCCGCGCTGTCGGCTCGCGGGCGGCGCGCCGTAAGCACGCAGGCGCCTCGATTACACCTCGGGTGGACTGCCCGCTGACTACCCGCCGTCGGCTTTTTGTCGATTTATCTATACTAATATTATAAAGCTGAAGAGTTTATTTGTTTGTTTGTTTGAACGAGCTAATCTTCGAAACTACTGGTTCGAATTAAATAATTCTTTTTGCAACAAAAAATAATAGTCCAGTTATCGAGGAAGGCTACGGGCTATATAAGATCACGCTACGACCAATAGGAGCAAAGATATAGTGGTAAATGTGTAAAAAACGGGGGAAATTATCTTTGAAGCCTCTCCGTTGCGTGCGCTGTGAAAACGGTTCAAGATACACAAAAAATATGTGTTAAAAAAAAAGTCCACGACAGTAAGTCTTCTATCTTTTAAGATTAACTCACAAAAACCGTTTTTATGGTACCTAATTTGGTCGAAATAATTTGTTTAAGTTGTATCAACATAATAATATTAATCTTTATTCAAATAAATATGTTATTGGTTAAGAGTACTTCATTGTGAACAAAATTGTACCAGGGCCTGAAATAAAATTAGAAAGTAATTAGCAATGGCAATAGGCTCACCCTCTATTACATCGGACTCATAATATAAATAGCGTAAAGTGGATTACATTGTACAGTGGCATTAAGTGCCGTAATGTGCACCTCTGACTACCTGTACGGGAATAAAAGGCGTGATGTTATGACTGACATGTCAGAAGTGAAGGTTCAATGTCTCACTATTAATATTAATAACTAAACATAAACATATTGTAGTAATATTATAGTCGGTCTCAATAATAATCAATATTGACACAGCTGTTTATAAACGTTACCTACTGTCAAAGTTATTTATTAATTTAAACGCTGTATAATTTTTCTTTATAAATAAATGATAATAATATAAATAACGTAATAAATCATAAGGTTATAATAACCTATTTAATGCGCGGCACAGGGCATAGCGTCCTAAACTTTTGGTTAACACAGGTGCGTACATTTTTTTTTATAGCATAAGCCGGTAAATGCTTAATTGGGCCACCGGTAACCTCACTCACACTACGAAACACAACGCAAGCGTTGTTTCACGTCGGTTTTCTGTGAGATCGTGGTACATGGCGTAGACATGGCTGTATTGGAAAGTACTTGTGTCGCATAAGCCGGGAGCAGACGTCGGAGTCGTTTTATGGAATAGAAGGCAAACGAGCAGACGGATCACCTGATGGTAAGCAATCAGCGCCTCCCATGGACACACGCAACACCAGAGGAGTCACAGGTGCGTTGCCGGCCTTTTAAAAAGGAATGCGCTCTTTTCTTGAAGGTTTGAAGGTCGTATCGGTTCGGAAATACCGCCGACGACAGATCATTCCACAGTTTTGCTGTGCGAGGCAGGATCCTACGCGAGAAGCGCACAGTTGTGGCCTGCCAACCATCTATATGGTGGGGATACTTAAGCTGTCGTCACTGCAATGGTGAATTGGAGGATACAGCGCGTCATACGCTTAAAAAGTGTACCGCATGGGCAAAGCCACGCCGCGAGCTCATTGCAGTACTCGGCGGGATCGGCCTCTCACCGTCGACCGTTGTACAAGCTATGGTCGACAGTAAGAGCGCATGGGACGGAGCAAAGGAAAGCTGAAAGAGAGAGGGAGACCTCAAGTCCTCTCCCCTTTTGCCGTAGTCGCGCCGGTCGTCAGTACAGTGAGGCAGCAGCCAATCTGCGACCTCCATAGGAAAGGCCTGTGGATGACTGACTGAGGGAGTCAGGCGTCCGCTGTATAGTCCACTCGAGGAAGGACAGCAGTCGCTAACGTGGTGAGACCTGCCAGGTGTGGTATATGAATAATAAAATCACTTAAACCTGCTCAATACAACACTGCTTTGAATCAACATCAAACGCGATTCTAATGTGGGAAAGCCATGCTTCGGCACGAATGGACCGGCTCGACCGGAGTGATACCACGGCCGAGCAGAAAACCGACGTGAAGCAACGCTTGCGTTGGTTCGTCGTGTGAGTGAGGTTATCGGAGGCCCAATTACCTTCCCCTTCCCCAATCTCCCCAATCCCTGAATCACAACGATCCTCAAACTCCTAATCTCCAAAAGGCCGGTAACGCACTTCTAACGCCTCTGGTGTTCCGTGTGTCATTGGTTACCATCAGGTGATCCGTATGCTCGTTTACCGGCTTATGCCATAAAAAAAGCCTATCGCGAGACAATGGCGGGCAAACATATAACATTGTAACATCACGCCTTTTAGGCAGAGGGTACACCTCTACCTAAAAGGCGTGATGTTACGACGACGTTACGATTACGGCACTTAATGCCACTGTACAATGTAACACCCACTTTTCACTATTTATGTTATGTATGAGTCCCATGTAATAGAGGGTGAGCCTATTGCCATATATTTATTTTTCCTTTGGTGACGGTACACGTTTACACTTGTTTATGTATGTATATTTATTTTTAACTTCCTTTTTTTTCTTTTTTTTAACAAGATGATGTATTTTGAGTAATCGTGTTATTTCCTTTTAATTATTTCTCGTTGCTTCCGTCCGTGCATCACTGCAGGGGTGCCAACTGAAAACCAGTGTTGGGTACTTACTGTGCCCACTTCAAATTGAGTTGGCGGGCCCTTTCGTCATGGGCATGTTGCCACCCTGTTGCTATGTGTAATTATTGTTTTTCAATTTTGTATATACTTTTTTATTTTATGTTTGTACTAGCTTTTACCCGCGGCTTCGCTCGCGTCACAAAAGGATACAAAGTAGCCTATGTGACATATAACG